AGTAAGTCAGTAACATATAGAGGGATACAATCATTATGTTTTTAAAATAACGTATCATATAAAAATCAGAATTTGATTTTTGTGTGGAGTTAAAACAAAAGTTCACGAACAAATACTTACAATGCGTGGATAGTATTATGAGGATTTTTTCCTGGTTTTCCCTCATAATATACTATATAATCACTAACAGGAGAATTTAACTGCATCATGTCAGTTGTTTGTCTTTTTAAAGACGATTACATGCTATGATTTTTTTTCTGACGAATATTCTCAAGTTAAAAAGTTGATTTCATGTAATCCGAATGAACAAGCTTATAAGTAATGTCGTCCCAGGAGCGCAACTCAACAATAGTGGCCATACATTTTTAAAGTCGTCTACTTAAATGCCATAATGTATTGTCTGAATTGTCAAAAGTAAATGAGTCAGAATAAAATTAAATTATTAAAGAATTTTTCACTATGTAACAAAAAAACGAAAATTTGTTTAATTTACTGTTTGTATTATGAAACGAATTCCGAAGTGGAAATTGGAAACGTCAATAAATGTAATTTTTAATCTTTAAATGTGGCTTATTCCATTTTAATATAATTAATTTACATGCCACAAGAAAATAGCTTCAGAACAATATATAAAATTTTATCGAACATTCTGTTAAGTAGGCTGACACCGTTTGTAGAAAATTTCATGGGTGAATACGAAGCTTCAGAAAACATAGATCGACCATAGATCAGATCTTTACTCTAAGACAGCTGCTTGAAAAAAGATGAAAATTCAATAGGACTATCCATAATCTCTTTATAGATTTTCGGCAAGTGTACGACAGCATTAAAAGGGATCAGATGTGGAATGCAATAGCAAAATTTTCAGTTTCAAAAAAACTTATCCAGCTTGTTAAGTTATATGTGATTAGCTGTAGATCCAGTGGCCTGAAACAAGGAGATGCGCTGCACCTCTCCTTTTTAATATCATCCTGGAAAAAGTAGTAAGAGCAGCACAACTTAAAAAAGAATTACTGACAGTAAATGGACCAAAATTACTACTAGCATACACAGATGACATTGACATTGTGGGAAACACAGTCACCAATGTGAACGAGACTTTTAATAAATTGGAGGTAGAGGCAAACAAAACTGATTTATGGGTAAACGAAGAAAAAACAAATACATGTGCATTAACAGACAAAAGGGACGAGATAGAATAGGGCAAAATGTTACAATAGATCCATATTACTTTGAAAGAGTGAAGAGTTTTAAATATCTCGAAACAATATTCACTGCAGATAACGATATCGCATAAGAGATTAATGGAAGAATTTAGGTAGCAAACAGATGTATGTACAGCCTCCACAATACTATTAAATCTAAAAGCCTAACACGAACATCAAATATTAGAATATATAAAACGGTGACTAGACCAGTGTTAATGTATGGGTGAAAGACGTGGACCCTGACCAAAAAACTGAAAGAAAACTTAGATGTTTTGACAGGAAAATCCTCAGAAAAATCTTTAGATCTTGAGGAAGTCCCCACAGGAAGAAGGCCCTTAGGACGTCCACAAATGCGATGGTGAGACAATATATGGTCAGATCTAAAAACAATGGGGCTACTCACTGTCTCAACTAATATGGACGACCGTTCAGGATAGAAGCAAGTTGTGCAGTCAGCCAAGATCTGACTTATGATCTGAACCATGATAAGACTGGAGTAATAGGAAATTGTCGTAGGATAAATTTTTGCATGTTGTATTTGTAAAATAATTACACAATTTACTTATTGTAATATTATTACAGATTGTAAATAAATGGAAAGTAAAAAAAAATTAAGTTGCTATCTCACTTGTGTTTAGTAGTGGGAAGTTCACGTGGGCAAAACAATGCTTATTAGAAAGAGATTCAGGGACTGCGTTGCATCATTTTTCTCTGTCGTACTGGGGGAACGAGTTTAGATTGCAGCGCGCAACCTAGGTATTATATAACAATAAAACACTGAAAACTTAGTTTTCAAATTTCCACAAAATTTATTTTAACTCTTATCACTACAGCTGTTTCGACTGATTGCCTTTCTCAAGTGATCTATTTTTGGCATGCGTTTACAATTTATAGTCTCTAATGAAATAGGTTGAGGAGGGGAGAACTGTTTGTCTCAAGTTGGTCATTCAGAATTATATCTGTGTTTTTTAATTTGTTGATTTCCATAGATTCTAACAAAGATAGCTTAAGGCCTTTATTTTGAATGTGAAGAATTTTAAATTTGTCATTAAAAGAATGATTATGATCTAGAAGGTGAAGTGCGTATGTCGAATCTGTTTTTCTATTATTGAAAGCCCTTTTATGTTCTGCTATTCGTTTATTAAAGTTCCTACCAGTTTGACCGATGTAAGTTTTTGGTCAGTCGCCACATTGAAGTTTGTACACGCCACTATTTAGGGGTTTTGTATTTTGGCTCTTGTTATTTTTAATATATTTGCCTAGGTTGTTATTTGTTAGGAAAGCTGATGTTGTTCCTTTATTTTTTATGTGTTTGACTATTTTTTTTTGTTATTTTGCCTGTATATGTAATCGAGTAGAAGGTACTGGATTTTTTTTCTGGTGGTGGAAATACTAATTTCAGGGCTTTCTTGTGTAGTTTTTGATTTGGCATTTTATTAATTGTTTGTTCGTTGTATCCGTTGTTTACTGCTATTTGCTTAATTATATTTAATTCTGTCTCAAAGTTGTATTTTAACATCCCATATATGTACCATACTATGATAAGCTGCCAGTTTATGTTGTATTGGATAGGATGATGAATTGTGTATCTTCTTTTTAAGGTTCCATCTTCTAACGAAGGTTGGATATCAACATGGCAACTCTTATTTTACTTACAGCAGCTCTAAATAGTTGGCTAGAGCTCAGACTAAACCATTCCCTTAGATTTCGTAGCCAGGAGGTTCGTCTTCTTCCTACATCTCTTTTACCTTTTATTTTGCCCTCTATAATCAAACGTAGTAGCCCATAACGAGGACCTCTCAATATATGACCGAAATATTCAAGTTTCCGCCTCTTAATTGTCTGTACAATTTCTTCCCTCTTATTAACCCTATCAAGGACTTCAATATTGGTAATTTTGTCTACCCATGCTATTCGTAGCATCCTTTGATAACACCAACGCTCAAAAGCTTCCAATTTCTTAATCTCCAGTTGTTTCAATGTCCATGCCTCAGATCCGTAGAGCAAAGTTGTAAAAATGTAGCAGCGCAATAACCTTATCCTTAGATCCATTCTTAGGTCTCTACTACACAATAGATGTTTCATTTTTACAACTTTTGCCCTTGCTATTTCTATACGGCTTTTAATCTCTTGCGTTTGTTCTGCGTTTTGACTAACCAATGTTCCTAGATATTTGTATTTATCTACCCTTTCTATCTGGATATTATTAATATGGAGTGTCTCGTTGTCTTTTGGATGTTTTGTAATGACCATGAATTTTGTTTTCTTTAAGTTCATTTTAATACCATATATGGTACACTTTTCATTCAGCCGTTCCAGTATGTTTGTTAGACTTTGCAGAGTTGAAGTGAATATGACAGTATCATCGGCATATCTTATATTATTAATAATTTCACCATTTATTATCATTCCATCGTTACACTCTCCTAAAGCTTCTTGGAAAATGGCTTCGCTATATATATTAAACAGCAGTGGTGACAATACACAGCCCTGTCTCACACCTCGAAGAATTTCTATTTCTTCCGACATTTGATTTTCAATTCTTATTTTGACTTTCTGGTTCCAGTAGAGGTTCGAGATTACTCTGATGTCGCGGCTATCGATGTTTTTCATTTTTAAAATATTAATTAGTTTATTGTTTATTGTTTATTAGTTTATTGAATTGTGTATAGTAACATATATGTAACATACTATGATAAGCTGCCAGTTTATGTTGTATTGGATAGGATGATGAATTGTGTATAGTCGTGTAAGTATGTGTAGGTTTATGAAATATGGAGAAGTCAAGTTTGTTTTTACGTCTGATAATTTTTAAATCTAAAAAATTTATGGATTGATTTTGTTCTGTTTCTATTGTAAATTCAACATAACTATGTGAATTAATATACGATAAAAATTGGTCGAGTTGCCTGTTAGTTCCTGTGAAACATACCAGTACGTCGTTTACGTATCTCCACCAATATAGAAATTGTTTGAATACGGGATGTTTTGATGTTTTGTCGGTCAGATAGCTCAGCGGGCTGTGCGGCTGCCTCTCATTCGCTTCACTGTCGAATGGTTCAGTGGATGTGGGTTCGAGCCCCAGCTCGGTGTACTGAAAACAAAAAGTCTAACGCAGCAGTTTAAAATTCTAGATGAATCTGCGGCTTAGACTAGGATATGCTGGGATCTGATCGGCCTATGGTGGAGCAGTACGGCAAGAGATAAGGGCTTGCGGCTTGGTGATACTCCTCCATAAATCCCTACCGGACGGGCGTAACGCCTAAAAAAACCGGATATATATATATATATATATATATATGTTTTGAAATCTTTGTCTCTAGATGGTGCATAAAAATATCTGATAGTAATGGGCTTGAGGATTGCCCATTATAAGTCCAGCACTGTTATTTGTATATATTTGATCAATAAATTCAAAGTAGTCCTGGTTTATGCAAACTTCAAGAAGATGTAAAATTTCAGATGTAATTATTAGATTTGTACTATTTTGATCTAAAAGGTTTTTTACTAGAATAAAAGTTTCTGTAGGAGGGATACTAGGAAAAAGATTTTTTACGTCAAATGAAATTAATTTGGAGTTGTTAGGTAATTGAAAATGTTGTATTTTATTAACTAGTTCTATTGTATTTTTTATAGTAAATTTAGGTGAAAATTTAGTGTGTTCTAAAATAATCTCTAACAGTTTTCAAAGTTTGAAAACAAAGTTTTCAGTGTTTTATTGTTACATAAAATAACATTAAATTAGGTTGTACAGGAATATTATTTTAATTTTGTTTTTATTGTTTGTTACAGAAACAACTTTCAAGCAACGTCGCAAAAAATGCCCTACCTTCCAAATCACCTGCTGGAAAGAACGAAAAATTAAGCTAGAGTCCATCCTGAAGATCAGTTTTTTCCTGATAATTTTATCCTCCTGTCTACTTGTATATTTGTTTGGTATCTCTTCAATAAACAAAAATCAAGGTCCACCGACAGATCCATGTTATGGCCATACATTAGGCAACTATAGTGTGTATTACAGATATGATTACGGCGGTGCTCCTCCTACGAACAGAGTTTTCCAGCCACTTCCTTTAGGACTAGTGGTGATAAAAGACACCAATACAATAACGTGTAATAGTTTGAAGAACTGTTCAGAGATTGTTCGGACTTTGCAGGACTACGATATGATCAAAGGGCTTTATGATTTATCTGAGAACTTCTTAATAGCGGTAGATGGAAGTATTTACGTGGCAAGAGGTTGGGACGTCAGAAACGGTTTTCCGATCGTCAGCATCACTGTAAGCTTTATAGGAAACTTCAATAGGGATCTGGTAACGACTGATATGGTGACAAGTCTAAAGCTTTTATTAAGGCAAGGTGTAGAACTATCAAAGTTAGCTCCAGATTATATCATCGTAGGTGAAAATCAAACAGCGGATAGTGTTAGTCCTGGAAGTCATGTATTTGAAATCCTTCAGGAATTCTGCCATTATAGGGATATAAATTTAATATCTAAGATGGCATATGATCTGTTATCAGCCGTTTTTATCACAGTGTTTAAGAAAACATCATTTTATCGTTCACAAAATGAAATATCCTGTATAGAGTAGAGTTTTTAAAAATTATTTCTAGATTTAAGCCTAAATGTATATATTACACATTTCCAATGCATTCTTTATTATTGATATCTACATTTTTATGACATAATATTGTTTTTTCTTGTCAACATATTTTTTTCACTTTTTTCCATAATTTATTCAGTGTTACCAAACGCATAAAAATGTTTACGAAATAATCATTAAAAATATATCAATTGAAAAGAAACAAGAATATCGCAATAAGATCCAGGAAAACAGAGACATCTTCAAAATTTTATACAAAGTACAGGCATGTTCAAGTACATGCTTTGGAAAAGCATTACATTAGCAAAGAAATAAAAAATTTCTATCAAGAAGTGAAGAGAAACAGACAAACAAAACACGCAAACAATTTTTTGTAGGACTGCTCCTTGGAAAAACTGCAGAGAAATTAAACAGATAGTAATAATATTTCACTGTGTTTAATACATTTATTTAAACATACTTTTTAACAAAGTCTGCGAAAATCAACTCATGTCCAAAACCCATGTTCTAAATCTGACAAGTAATGACAACTGACAACGAGTCTCCATACATTGTGCCTAGAGCCCCGTGACCGTAATCATAACCTACTGATATGACATCTTTCCCCTTACATTTGATAGTCCTTAAAACGCACTGGAGCTCTTTTGAGTCTAGCGCTAGTTCTATTTTCAGCATTCATCTGGGAGGTTGAAGGTTCCTCTACTCCACAACTCTGATTTCCAGATGAGGAGTTTAATGATCTATCATTATGTGCAAAATCAGTATTCTTCTTCATTTCCGCTTTAACTAGGGAAGGCCTCAAGTGATAACTGTTTCGCCTGACCACTTCCCCATTTTCTTTCTGCACTAAATAAGATCTGGGTGCCTCACTTTTTCCAGAATTTTACCTGGTCTCCATTCTCTACCCTCTCTGACACCTACATTCTCTCCTGGCACTATTTTTCTTACCTTGGTGTTTCTATCATAATAATTTTTATATTCGTTTCTTTTTGCCTCTAGTTTCTCCCACTCTTCCTTTAGATTTATGTCTTTATGCTTTTTATTTAATGGTAGCTTCGATCTAAGAACCCTGTTAGTCACTAATTGGGCCGGTGTTTTATCTGTTCCATTTATTGGAGTATTACGATACTTCAGGAGCGCCATATCTAAGTCGTCACACTTTCTAAGCATGTTTTTTGCAATTTGAACGGCTCGTTCTGCCTGCCCGTTAGACCGTGGATAGCGGGCACTGGAAGTTACAAACCGAAAATCCCAGTCTTTAGCAAATTGCTGACAATGCCACGAATTATAAGGCATGTTATCTGATATGCAATTTCGTCCCTAAAAAATTATAAAGCCGCAGGACCAGACGACATACAGGCGGAACTACTAAAAAAAGGGGAGAAAAGCTACATCTTGAGATATACCATCTTATAAGAGAAGTCTGGGAAAGAGAAGAAATACCGAAACACTGGCATGAAAGTCATATAATACCTATCCACAAGAAGGGAGACAAACACATATGTCGCAATTATAGAGGAATATCGTTAGTCAATACAACATACAAAATTTTATCCACAATATTGTTTAGAAGACTAACTCCATACGCAGAGGAAATAATAGGTGACTATCAAAGTGGATTCAGACCGGGAAGGTCGACCATAGACCAGATCTTCGTCCTACGCCAAGTGTTGGAAAAAAACTGGGAATTCAATCGCGACGTACACCAAATATTCGTGGACTTTAAACAAGCCTACGATTCTGTTAGCAGAGAGGCATTGTGGAAGACCATGGTAGAATTGGGAGTACCTGGAAAGCTGGTAAGATTAGCACAGGTGAGCACGGAGAACGCTTCCGCACGGATCAGAATTGGCAACACCACGTCGGTGCAGTAAGGAAAGCTCAGTCACAATTGACAAACGGATTTGCCGCACACGGATCAAAAATACTATTGGCCTTTGCGGATGACGTGGATACAATAGCACAATCCACCAGAGCTGCAAAAGAAGTTTTCACCCTATTCGAGACCGGAGCCAAGGAAATTGGTCTTAAGGTAAACGAGGATAAGACCAAGTACATGGTAGTTACGAAGAACCCAAGACCAAGGGTTAGGCAAAACGTAACAATTAACGAATATAACTTCGAAGTCGTCAAAGAGTTTAAGTATCTGGGAGCGATTATAACATCTGAAAACAAATATGAAAATGACGTGGCAGCCAGGATAATAGCAGGAAACAGGACATATTACTATTTAATGACCATCCTTAAATCAAAAATACTCTCAAAATCAGCAAAAATAAGAGTATACAAGACAATAATTCGTCTGACAATAACGTATGGAAGCAAGACATGGACGCTGAACCAGCGGGAAACGACAAAATTACTGGTTCTTGAAAGAAAGATACTACGGACTATCTATGGGCATTGTAGAGAAGAAACAACAGGAAAGTGGAGAAGAAGACACAATAATGAAATATGGAGATGAAAACATAGTCCGCTACATTAAAGCAAACCGAATAATAATGGCGGGCCACGTCCTAAGGTCAAATAACGAAAGACTGAACACCAGATTCTGGAACAGGCCCGATGGCAGAAGGTCAGTTGGCCGCCCAAGAAAGAGATGGAAGGACGCAGTGGCCAGTGATCTACGTAAAATGGGAGTGCAGCAGTGGGAAATAGCTGCTCAGGACCGACAACAATGGAGGGAAATAGTAAACGTGGCTAAGACTTACATAGAGTTGTAGAGCCAAATGATGATGATGATGTTATTTGATATGACTTTGTAGGGTATTCCGTGTGTTGAAAAAATTTTCTTTAACTCCTTGATGACCACCTGAGAAAATTTTTGAATTAATTTTCGCTATATCGATCGATTTAGAAAAATAATCGATCAGAACTAGACATGATGGTCCACCATAATCTAATGTATCACTTGGTACCTTTTCAAAAGGTGCTTGAGGCAACTCTTTAAGTAATAGTGGTTCTTTGGAGTTGTGATTTTAAATATTTCACACTTGCTACAATTTCTTACCCAGTCTTCTATACTTTTGTTGTGATTAAGAACCAAAGTGTTTAATTCCTGTATCCTACCTGTACTTAGATATGAAAACATTCGTAATAGAACAAAAATAAAAGATGTTGTGGAACAAGCAGCTAAACTGAAATGGGAATGGGCTTAACATAACGAACGTCTTAAGGATGGCCGATGGTACAAATAAATCGGGAATTGGCGACCATATGAAGCCAAAATACCACGAGGAAGACCGCAAATGCGATGGAGCGACGATATTAAAAGAACTGCAGAACCAATGTGGAAACGTCTTAAAAAAAACAGAGATGAATGGCAAGAATTATGAGGTGCCTATATTCGGCAATCCGAGCAGAGAGAAGAGCTTAAAAAAATACTGGTTTATGGCAAACAGTTTATTAGTTTCAAAATATATAGATTAATATGATTTTTTTGAAAATTCGTTATTTGATTAAACATAGATTGGAATGGTGGATGGATAAAAAGAAGTTACTTCCAGATTTGCAGTTTGGGTACAGAAAATGCTGTGGTACCATAGATGTACTTGGCACATTGGTAACGGACATTCAGAACTCCTTCTCAAGTAATAGTTATTTACCGACAATAGTATTAGATATAGAAGGAGCATATGATAGTGTTTGTCTCGATATTTTAATGAAAAAATTTCATATACTAGCACAATTGGTAAACACTATTCTTAACTTTTATTCCTGCAGAACAATTTACCTGAGAACAAACAATAATAAACTTATCTTCTTCTTCTTCAGGTGCCATCTCCGCTACGGAGGTTGGCAATCATCATAGCTATCTTAATTTTTGAGGCAGTAGCTCTAAATAGTTGTTTTGAGCTGCATCCAAACCATTCTCTCAGGTTCTTCAGCCATGAAATTCGTCTTCTTAAGATGCTTCTTCTGCCATCTTTTTTTCCTTGCATTATGAGTCGCAGGATGCCATACTTATCGCCCCGCATCACATGTCCGAGATACTGTAGCTTTCTTTCTTTAATTGTAAGTTCAATTTCCTTCTCTTTGCCTATTCTTCTCAGTATTTCATTGTTTGTAACTCTATCTACCCAGGAAACCCTCATAATTCTTCTATAGGTCCACATCTCAAAGGCGTTAAGTCGTCTCATGGTATCTAGATTTAACGTCCATGATTCCACTCCATAATATAGTACACTGTATACGTAACATTTTGTTAGGCGTACTTTAAGAGCTAATGTTAGATCTTTGCCACATAGGACCTTTTTCATTTTTAGAACGTGCTTTTTCGATTCTGACTTTGATTTCTGCCGTGTAGTCATTATTTTCTGTTATAAGTGTTCCTAGGTAAGTGTACTTTTTTTTCTTTCGATCTGCTGGCCCTCTACTATCAAGATTTCGTTAGTATTATAGTTGTTTTTACAAATGTTCATAAACTTCGTCTTTTTGACATTAAGAGAGAGTCCGTACTCCCTACTACACATGACTATTTTGTTCATGAGTCTTTCCAGGTCTTGTAAACTATCGGCTATTATTACTGTATCATCTGCATATCTGATGTTGTTAATTAAGACTCCATTTACTCTTATGCCGACTGTTTCATCTTCCAGAGTTTCTCGAATTACCTCTTCAGAATAGGCGTTAAATAATAGAGGTGATAGAATGCAGCCTTGCCTGACTCCTCTCTTTATTTCCATTTCTTCAGATGTTTCTTTTTCGATTCTTACTATTGCTCGCTGATTGTATGTTTATGTTTCGCTTATGTTTTTATTTTTTAGAATTTCCAGAAGTCGATCATGTTTTACTTTATCAAACGCTTTATTGTAGTCTATAAAACAGACGTAAAGAGGACGGTTAACATCCAAACATCTCTGTGTCAGCACATTGAAGGAGAATAATGCCTCTCTGGTACCCATACCATTGCGGAACCCATATTGAGTGTCACTAATATCCAGCTCCAGTTTAGAGTGTATTCTGGCGTGGATAATTTTCAAGAGAATTTTCAAGGTATGTGACATTAAGCTTATGGTTCGATAGTCACTACACTCTTTGGCATTCATCTTCTTTGGCAAACACACAAATGCTGATGTCAACATTTCTCTAGGAATGATTCCCGTAGTATAGATAGCGTTGAATAGTTCTACTATTATGTCCAGGTTTTTCTCGTTGACCAACTTTAGTAGCTCGATTGGTAATTCATCTGGACCAGCAGAATTATTGGTTTTCATTGAGTTTAATGCCTGACTAACCTCTGATTTGGTTATCTCTGGACCTACATCTCCCGTTTGGCTATCTACAGATGTACTAGCTTCTCTCTGGTCATGAAATAATTCTTCGATGTACTCTTTCCATCGTCGTAGTTTAATAAACTTATAGGTCCTCGTTATAATAAACCGGGACTACCGCAGGGATCAGTTTTAAGCCCTTTATTGTTTAATATCTATACTGCAGATTTACCTAACATTTCCATTAAAACTATCAGCTTTAAAATAATATAGTATGCTGATGACTTTCTTATGAATTCATTTATCAAAAAATACGATAACTGCATTCAAACTTTAGAAAAAATACACGATAGATCCAAAAACTGGTTCAAACAAAATGGGTTTGAAATTTCATCAAGTAAATCAAGTATTAGTATTTTCACTCGACACAATATCCCAAAACTAAATCAGATAAAATTGAATGGGTATGATTTTAATTTCAGTTCTTCAATTAAATATTTGGGAATGATTCTCGATCGGAAGTTAACTTGGAAACTGCACTGTTTAATAGATGTAAGAAGGGTCTCAACAAATCAATTACAAAAACATGGTGGGGTGCAGATGTGGAAACTTCTTTGCTTTTCTTCCGATCTTATATTAGATCAATTATCGATTATGGATGCATATTATATGGTTCAACAAGTAAACATATTCTGAAAACAATAGATGTGTTTCAAAACGCAGCATTGCGTATTTGTTTGGGTACCATGAAATCGACGCCAATTAATGCTCTACATGTGGAAGCTCTAGAAAATCCCTTGGGCTATAGAAGAGAATACCTCAGTCAAAAGTTCTCTTCTCAGTCAAAAATTAACCTCTTATTAATATACAAAATCGTAACACTACTCTCTACTCAAATATCAGAAAACTGAACGAAGAAGATTTAACTAATCGATATTGGAGACTTAAGAACTCACCTCCACTTTGTGAGGCTTTTAGAAGCCTGACAAATTTTGATTATGACTTTAAATCAGAGGATAATCTTAACATCGAACATTTTTATTCGTGCTTGCAACGCATTACTGTGATACAACCGAATTACCATGTAAATTCTTCTGTTAGCTCGAATATTTTGAGGTCCTGTTTATCTAGTCTGTCAGACTCTTTAGTTATTTATACGGATGCCTCAAAGTCTATTGTTGGTACTGGGTGTGCTTTCTACATTCCATCAACTAATACAAAAAAACTTTGTCGACTAAATCCTAGTTTTTCAATCTTTAGTGCTGAAGCTGTATCTAACTATAGTATCTAACTCATTGTCTGTTATGTTAGCCATTGAAACTTTAAATTTTCCTAGTAATAACTCAAATATATAAACTATGTCTTTCAAATTAAAAAACTTTGACATTTATAAAAACCGAAGAGTTGTTCATTTTTTGTGGGTTAAAGCACATATAGGTCTTAAATACAACGAACATGACCTATTAGCTAAAAAGGCCATTGATACCGGAACGCAAGCTGGTCACTAAATTTGTAGACAAGACGCATTAACAATAATTAAAAATAATATCAATCCCAAGTGATTATTGGTTCAAAAATTATTCTGTTCCACGAAGGTATATAACATCCATAATTAGAATAAAATTTGGACACGCCTGCTATCCTAGTCATCTGTCCAAACTAAAAATCGTAAATTCAAATTTATGTCCAGACTGTCAAAAAGAAGGTGATCTAAATTACATTTTCTTCGAATGTAAAAAATATACAAAACAAACTGAAGATCTAATAAAAAATTTAGTCAACATCAAAATTTTTCCTCCGTACAATATGTGCTATCTGCTATCTCTAAATAAAGAGTTGTAAATGAATGTTTGATGGAGTTTATTTGCAAAAGTAAGCTTAATATTTAACTGTAATTAGAATCCTAACCTCTGTTTTACCCCATTTGTTATTACCTTTTATCCGTGACCTAATCTAGTTTGTCTTAAAGCAATGACGATACGAGAAACGAGTGTCCATGTTTTATCCCTATCCTATCCTTAATAATAATTTTAATGCTTAAAATTTGTAATGCTACTTAAGTTTGAATTTTATATTATCTTTTTATATTGTACTACTCAATCTTCTTTCTGGGTAGAATATTTTCATGTTGTGACTGGCTGTATGGCACTGGTCTATGTCATTTAAACAAAAAAAAATCGTTATAGTTCGATAATTGTTGCAATTATCAATACAACTTTTGTTCTTAAACAGAGGTACCTATTACCTTTGCGGTTTTGAAAACTTTAGTAAATATTACAAGATATTGATTGATTTATAAAAGTTCTTAAGGTTGGACAATTATATTTTTAATTGTTTTAATTATTTTTGTGTTAAATCCATCAGTATCTTTCCCATTACTATTTTTCATCTCTGAAATAGCCAAGTTCACAGTCCAAAAACTAAAACACGGAATATTTTTCTGTTGTATACACTTCAAATAGTCTACAGTTAGCTGAGAAACGCCAAATTCATGTACCTATTATTATTTCAGCAGTAGGGCAAAAGTGGTTATCAAAACTAATTGCCCTAAGTTTAGAATATATTGTCAGTGGTATTATTTTTGTGTCATCATCATCAGTGGTGCTACAGCTCTAGTTGAGCTTTGACCTTCCCCAGTCTATTTCGCCAGTCGTTTTTGTTCATCGCCAACCGTTGCCAATTTGTCGCGCCGATTTTCCTTGCGTCCTCGTCCACACCGTCCCTCCATCTCAGTAGTGGTCTGCCTCTACTCCTATTTCCCACTGGGACCGATAATAGAGTTCGTCTGGGTGGGTAATTTTCATTTGCTCTTGACACATGTCCAGCCCATCTAAGCCTACCTATTTTTATGAAGGATATTACATCTCTACCATTTACTATTTTTTTATACTTCTCGTACAATTCGAAATTATATCGCCTTCTCCAAATACCATTCTCACAGAATGCGCCCATTATTCTTCTTAGTATCTTCCTTTCGAAGACGAGCAGAAGATTTGCGTCTGTTTTGGAGATGGTCCATGTTTCTGACCCATATGTCAGCACTGGTAGAATGAGTGTTCGACATATTATTAGTTTGGTTTTCTGGCTTAAATTTCTGTTTTTTAGCTGCTTGCTTAGTCCAAAATAACATTTGTTTGCTAGCAGTACCCTCCGTTTAACTTCTTCAGATGTGTCATTATCGTTTGTTATGAGAGAACCCACATATGTAAACTTATTTACTACCTCAAAATTATATTGGTCTATACTGAAGTTTTGTTCGGCGAAGAGTTATTTTTGTGTCTGTTACTAATAATAAGTTTAAATTCCACATAACTTGTTGGGAGTTACCAGAATTGTTTATTAAGATATTGTTTTCTTTAATTTACGCAACTATTGTGGAAAGTTACTGAAGTGTATAACAGTATAAGATGTAGGGAAAATCATATATGTAACTAAGAAATGTACCAAAGGATACTGTCCCAAAAGGTGTACATTAGAAATCTACCCAACAAATTCAGAGCATAAAATAAACACTAAACAAACCAGATAATGTCTGATAAAGCAGAATTATATAATTCAATACAAAAACTTAAGAGAAAATCAAAAGATTACAATGGAGTGATTTGTGACAAAACCACTATATATTCGCTATGAAAAGTGACTGCGAAATGTCTCATACAATAGCCATAGATTAGGGTGTACATAGTACATAGCTCTTTAATAAGAAAAGCACATTGTAGTTCGGACAGAAGTACCTAATCCACAAACAGCTGAACATTTTGCAGAACATTTGGAAAGCATAATTTTTAAAGCACTAACTACCGTTACTGAGATTTTTAATAACAAACAATCTACGGCATATGTTAAAGAAGACAATTATTTGTAAAATACTGAAAATCAGACAGCCTTACAAAGATGCATTGTAAATTGCCTAAATTTGGAGTAATTTACCCATTTAATAAGAAGTACTTTGAATTCAACCGACTCTACACAACCATAAATAAGCATTTTACAATTTTTTTAGTATATTTATCAACTGTTTTAGATGATATTGTACAATTCAATATATAAAGCAATCTGCTAAAAATACCAGTTAAAATCATTAGTTGAGCCAAATATATGCAACCCACATTTCTTCATAAATGTGATATTCCTTCAACTTGGGAAAACTATTGCCCAAGCAAAAAACTACCATAAAATTCAAAAATTACGTCAAAATGAAAAGCATTTATAGGTAAAACGTATAATGGAACATATCTACACGAACTTATTTATTTCAATAAATATTTATCTATTACTGAACTCCCTGGAACATCTTATTGGTATACAATCACTAAATTATTGTTCTTTGAATTTGCCGTTGTAATAAGGAATATAATCGACGATAACCCTCCAGTCAGTGACATAACATAGCGTAACACCTGCTACGGCTCCAAAGGCTGCTGCAGACCCGATCCTTAAAAAAAGGTTAGGGTTATATAACAAAATGTAAATAACGATACTAGAGCTTACCATTGTTGTGCTACTTCTATGTGTTTCTTTCCAATAGGGCCTGGAGTAGTGGCTAATTTTGTGACTGCTCGAACTCCAGACATTGTTTAAATAAATTGGTTTTCTAGCTAATTTTAAAAGCACTGAATTGAGTAGTGAGCTCCCAATCAATCCAAAATTGAGTGACAGTGACAGTGACAGTAGGGAGGAGTGACAGTAATAGAAAAATGACATATGACAAATTGTCAACGTTGCCAGATTTTAAACCTGTAAATCAACCAAAGACAAAGTAATGGGAAAAGATTTTCATAAATTAGAACACCAGAAAACGTTAATTGTTTTATAATATAGGTTTTTATATATAGATAAGTTGTTCAGTTTGGCAAAATGTAGAAACGAGCAGCAAACATCAGGATATTAATAAAACTAGACCAAAAAGTTATCCAATAAAGTTAAAGCATGTGTCCCCCATGGCTACATGAATGGTAAGCAATATATGCAAATGGGGGACAACGTTTGTCCCCCATGGCACTTTACGTGTTAAATAGGAGGAAGACAGAAAAAATTAAGCTCAGTGATCGTACCTAGATTCAATTGATTGGATCCAACATCGCATGGTGACGGACAAACTCACTAATATATTATAATAATACAAACAGGAAACAAAATTACTTACATATCTTTTGATGATTTGCTCCCTAAATTGCCACTAGATGTCGTTAATCCTGTTCTACCAAAGTTTAGAAAAATTTGAAATGTTCTGACTTACCTGAAACAAAAACAAATTCGTTAATAAATTATAACAAAAGATATAGTATTGTCATGTATATGAAGATAAACTTAACTCACCTGATTCGTAATATTTTATTCCCTTTATGAACCATATCCTTCTCGATTGAAACCAATTTCTTCCGTCACACCCAATATTTTGTATTACCGGAGACGACCACGTACATTCCGAGACTTTCAACAAATATTACAACGTTACTAAACACCGTATTTATCGGAAGAGTCACTGAAAAAAATAATTAAAATTAATAAATCTTTTTGCTGTTCAAATATGGACGCTATCAATAGAAAACACGAAGAAAATCACAAATATACAAAAAAAATTAAAATAGCAGTATGCAAATTCAAACACAATCTTTCCATTTGTTGTTTTTATAAATGCATTTTGCATTTGTGAACAATTAGGTGATGTTAAATTAGAAAAAACAGAAAATATACCTCATTATATCGAAATACAGAACGCTTGATTTGGGAATTATGTTAGAATGCCAAATTTACAAGGGTCAAAACAGACATTTGAGTGTAATTCTTCAAGAAATTTACTATCTTCCGTGTTCAAACGGAAGAAAAATACCAAAAAACACAAAATTAGATATTAAATAGTAATAAAGAAACTTAATTGAACAAATATTATAATATACGAATTCATAGATATTGTATGACAAGTTGGCGTCTTTTTATACTGTTTAAATTTTACACTACATTGTTTAAACGTTACTACATTCATTGTAAAAACTTATGTCTAATTTATACAAAATTGTATTGTACCCTTACCATATCACAGATTTACCATTTCTTTGCACTCACCACACATTAGTTCATGTAAGTTATAAACTACAAACGTTCTTAAAAAGCAAGTAAACCCTTTTCTTGCACAAACAATTTTTTGTCTATAAATTTTCAAACAACTGCATATGCGCAGAAATGTCATAGCTTGCCTTTCGTTTTGAGTTTTGAATCTAGCGGTTGCCAAAATTGAGATACGGCAAAAACAATGTAATTTGGGGAAAAATCCAATTCATCTTTTACTTTTAATTTAATTAACCAACAATTTTCTGTTTTATTGGAGTTACGGCTTCTGTACTAAATACATAAAAATATAAATATTCCTGTCAAAAACGTTACTTTTACGTACATATCCTTTTTGGATAGAAAAACAACTGTGGTATTTAATAACAGTAAATATTTCTCATTGCAGTAATAAGAAAAATACCTGAAAAAATGTTAAAATGTATTTGAATACTATTCAAAATTCAAAAGTTTATCAACATTCACAAAATTATAGATAGAAAAGATTTCATTAGCGGCATTGTAGGATTACTGGTTGCCTATTTACGGTACTATAACAACTAACATCATTTATCTTTTAACTAAGCTTTAAGGAGAGCTAAAATTTGGTATTTTAAGCTTGTTTTTGAAATATATGAGATAATTTTAGACGTACTAAATACTGTAAAATGTTTTTTAACATATAGCAACCCCGCCCAATGACTGGCAACGTTTCGTCAATGTCATTACTAATTTATTAACCCATAATTACTGTCAGTGTCAATGAAACCATCAATGTAAGGAAACGTACACTCGAAGGGTAAAAGTTGAAATATTGGAACATAAACTTTAAACTTTTTCTGAATTTACATAGTGTTAGACGCGTATTATTATAGCATTTAATAGCAAAAATATTTGGTAGACTAAAGTAATTTATTGTACAATGCTAGATCAAGTTGTTGAAGAGTGGGATGAACTTGCACTAGATTTTAAACAGCTAGAGGTTAGTAACAGGTTAAATTCATTTTTATGCAGTGTTATCAGTGATACTTTTAAAATATTGGTACTAATTAGTAATTACACATATATGCTAAGTGTTGTTATTCAATTGTGTTTTCAAGTTAATATACTTATTACTCGCTAATGAAAATGGAGTTTGAAGCTGAAGTTTTGTGCCGGATTTCCTTATTCGTTTTAAAATCAGTGATCTGTACCTTTTAGCATTAATTAAATCTATTTTTATTGTACAATGAAAGAATGAAAAGCCTTTAATCAGTGTCGAGTGAATTATTTGTTTACAAGGTTAATTTTTGACATAGGTATATGTACAAGAAACAACTAAAATAACACTAGAGGAAAACAGATAAATAGGGCAATACGCAATTTATACTAGATTAGAATGTAGTTTTAAAAGAAACTTAGAGTATTCTACAATAGAAAAATTTTTCAACAAATATATTTTTACAGTATTGTGCTATGGACCTCGAAAACTGATTCAATGAGGTACTGAGGGCTGAGATGATGAGTTTGTAAACATAAATACATGCAAATATGTAGGCATATGAAGGCAGATAAAGAAATTAATGGAATAATCACAAATCATGTACAAATTGGTTAAACAATCGTAAAACATTTCTAAAATCTTGTAAAAGAAATATTTCAGAGAACATAAACAATCAAAAATGAAGATTGTGATGATATTTTTACTGTAATATGAATTTTGTTAAAGTAAAACAAATTTTAATACATTTTCTCACTTTTAGGTAGATAACAAAGCATATCTTCAACAATTGAATGAATTAACAAGTATTCAAAAGAAATGTCTAAACCATATTGCACATCAAAGATACAGGATTGGAGTTCTCACCAAATCTCTCAGAGAGTGAGTATTTGCATTATGTTATTGCTAAATTATTGATGATCTTTTGTTTCAGTTTAAAAAAGACAGAAGATGTAGCTAAAATTGCCGAATTGAAATCTAATATAATGAAAAGAAAAGCACAACTATATGACATTGAACAAACTTTACCAAAACCCAATGGAACTTATTTAAAAATTATTTTAGGCAATGTTAATGTTTCTATACTAGATAGGGATGAAAAGTAAGTAACATTGTAGTTTTTTTAAGATTAAATAGTCTAAAAATGTCAAAAAGTACCGTAACAGTACAGTTTTTTATGGTAATATCTATTTGAATAGGTGAGATCAAAAAGGGCATGAGTCACATGTTTTCATAAAATGACTTTTCATGTAAAAATGAATCTTTGTAGGTAGATACATAGTTTTGTACAGAAAGGGCATGATTTCGTATTCTTATTATGCTATTTTGTGCATACCTCTAAATATACTGAGAACTGAGAGCAGAATCGGCCTGAGTCGATGACTCATGCCCTTTCTGCCCGCATTTATTTCTTTGCATCTGGTTGTGCGCTAGATACAGTTAGTTGTTCTCTTACCAGCTGAAGTTATTCGGTATAATAAGGCGAATCCATTGCGAATCAGTATATATTTTGATGCCAATGAGATTGTGTCTACATTTTTTTTTCTTAATATGTCAAATTCGGATAGTGATGGTGATGTTAATGTTTTTAATACCGGGAAAAGGAGGAATGAAACTACACATAAATGGAATATTATTCGTGACTCTGGGGTTCATGGATTAGAACACCTTCAATAACTGATTGAAAAAGCAGAATAGAAAAATAGTCGACCCAGAAAAGAAACACCTAAGGAAAGAATGTGCAATTTCAAGTATTTTGTGATAAGAGACAATAGTGTGCACATTAATGTTTGCAAGAAGGCCTTTGCTAGTTTACATGGTATTACTGGAAAAAGAATCCGTCGCATCCTCGTAAGGAGCAAACAAAGTATGGTCAATGTTACTAAAATATATTGACAAGTATGTACCTAACGCAGTCAAAGAGTTATACCTGTTCTCAGATGGATGTCCGGGTCAAAATAAAAACCACACGGTTATCTGATTTCTTACTGCCTTGGCTAATACTAACCGTTTTACTGTCATTCATCACTATTTTCCTATCCAGGGACACTCCTTTCTACCTAATGATCGTGACTTTGGTACAATAAAAAGGAAAATCAAAAAGCATGATCGTATCTATGAGCCTAATGATTACAAGAACTTGATAAAATCAGCGAGTACAAAATTTGAAATAGAAACATTACAAACTAATGAAGTGCTAGATTTCAGCGGTTGGTGGCCTAACATTTTTAAAAGAGCATGTTTATCTTCTGATTCTTATGGTAAAGGCATACCCAGAAGTCAAAAGGAACCATTTGGACCGTCCTCTTACATGCAGTTTACTTACCGCTCTACATCCAAAGGCATTGTCAAAGCATACACATACATTGAAGGGTTTGTGGTGAAAGAATTCAGTCTGCTAAAGTCACATGTGAAAGATATTTCTGTACCGAAGCAAAAAAAGCATGGTTTTGTGATAAACTAGGTTTAGCCTTTGCTGTGTAAAAATGTTCCCTATATGATATTCTATTACTATAAATATGTTGTAGATGCACTAAATAAGATTTGCTTGATCGGATTAGTTTTCATCAATTTTCTCGAAATGCCCAACAAATGACTCGTGCCCTTTCTGATCTCACCGATTCATTTGTATGCATACTATTTTCATTTTAGGTTTAAATATAAAGATGAATATGAAAAGTTTAAGTTAATTTTGAGTATAATTGGAATAGTAATGGCAGCACTGAATTTTATCGTCAGATTTCGACCTTTAGAACTAAGTTACATATTTTTGTTAGTTTGGTATTACTGCACACTCACGATTAGAGAAAGTATACTTAAGGTAAGATATACTGCTATATTAAACACTTCAAATTTGTTGTGACATTACTCTACACAATTTTCTAGGTGGTTTTATAATAAAGAACCAAGTTGATTATGTTTTTTCACATAGAATTTCATTCAAGCACTTTCATCATTCAATCATATTCTTAATTATATTAATATGTAATTAATATTATTAATTAAATGTATTGTTTCAAGAACCAAATATGATTGACTCTGTATTGACCAAATATGATGTGATTACCCTACCAGACAAACAGTGCGACTTGCCATCCTAGACTTTTATATAGATGAATTAGCCCAAAAACAAAAAATATGATACTGTCAATACATTTTTTGAGTCCATCCTTCTGTACAACTGTAAAAAAGACAAAAGTCATATTTTTCCCAACATTCTATCATTTATCTCGAAAACTATCGATTCATGGAAAGATTTAATTTTATTTACTGTTTTATATACAGTGTAGGTAAAATTTTAAGGTCGGTATGGTAAAATTTAACAGGATATCTAACGCAGATATAAAATCATATTTTCAACGAATTAGACAAAGATAACAATCATATTTCCCCTTCGTCTCCCCTCCTAAAATCCTTTTAACACTCATTGGCCATTGCCCATTAGTGAGACGATTAGTTCCGATCAGATATTCTCTGGTTCCGATCCTAATATACCTAAAAAACTAGAGGTGGGTCTTCTCGTTTTTTTAATTTTTATCGGAACCGTTTTTCGTAAACTGTAACTAGTTGATTGTTTACCAGTATTCAAATTAGCGAGTACACAAACATATTAGCTATTATCGTTTATGTGTATAAGTATTGAAATAAAAGAACCTAACGAAGGATATATTTATTGTAACTTGAAAAATAAATTAAATAATACAAATGGTACTTAAATAGTTACATTTACATTACACATTATTAAATCGCGAATCGTCTAAATTGACATTTAAAAACATAAGTTTTTCCACTTTTCTTGTTAATCGCGTTCTTCTTTTATTTAAAATTATACCAGATGTTAAACATGTGTTCACAAGGAAAAGATTTTGTTACAATACTACAACATTTTATGAATATAGTGGTTAAGTTACGATATACATGGCGATGGTTTTTTCACCACGGTAATGGACAGTTCCAATCTCCGTTCGAAATTGTTTGTGGGTAATATATCATCAGACAATTACATGTCGACTTCTTTTATACCTCTCGATACAGGTGTATGTTTAGATGAGTCATGTCCAATTAATTCATCAAAAATACACCATGGACTTAAGTCATCTTTATCAGTTTCTTTTTCTTGGACTGATTGATTTTCAAGATTAACTAAACTTTTCGTTTCATCCATTTTCCATAGTTAAAGAACCAGCTTTTAAAAAGTTTGCAGGGTGGATTCCTGGATATAAACCGCCAACAAGAAAAACTTTGTCAGGTTCATTACTTCAGGAATGTTATGTCAAAAGTGAGCAAATTATTAGATCGCAAGTTGTTAAAGAAGTAGAAAATATCTGTATTACTACTGACCTCTGGACATCTGGAGTAACTGAGAGTTACTTCGCATTAACAGGACAATATTTAACCGAAAATTTAGTATTCAAAACTTTTTTATTAGGCTGCTGCCATTTTTCTGGAAACCATAATCCAGAAAACAGCGATTACTGAAATTATTAATCAGTCGGGTCTAAAACGAAAAGTAAATTTTGCAGTAACTGATAATTCCTAAAATATGGTCAAAGCTATTAAATATGTTTTGTTTTATGATGATTGTGATTTATGATGATGATTAAATTTATTGGTGGGGGACGCACTTAAATGCTGTCGTGTACAAATAGATAAAATAAAAAGTCCTTTTTTCGACAATTCTGCAAAAAAACACATTTCAAAAAAGTACCTTATCTTCAGAAAGGCTGTTAAAGTATTAATTACAACAGAACACAGTTCCCAAACGGCCAATCCAAGACGTGGAAACTAGGAAGAACTTCACCTATTACATGTTAAAAAGAATGACCGAGTTAGAAGAGGCAACCCGTTCCACATTGGTATTAAATAATACAGACTTAGACTTAAACCTAATCTAAATAAAGAACACTGGATTATTTGTTCTCAACTTTCCCAAATTTTACGGCCGTTTAAAGAAATAACAAGTACAATGAGTGACCAAAAATACTTGAATGCTAGTTCAGTGATTGTTATGGTACGCTGCCTGCAAGAATCTTGCAATAAAATTTTAGCAAACGGCATACTTACATCCATAGTATATGACATAGTACAATTACTAATATCGGGTTTAGCAAAAAGATTTAGAGGGATAGAACAGAGTGGCACATTGTCATTATGTACATTTATGGATTCACGATTTAAAGTGCAGAACAAAACAAAAAGTTAAGAAGCTGGTTACTTCTATAATTAACGAACAAGAAGATTGTACTATTGAAAATCAACCAGTACAAGAAAAAGAAACCAATAAATATGACTTAAGTCCATGGTGTATTTTTGATCAATTAATTGGAGATGACTCATCTACACGTACACCTGCATGGAGAGTCCATTACAACGGTGGAAAAACCATCGCCATGTATATCCTAACTTAACCACTATATTCATAAAGTATTGTAAATGTGAACACATGTTCAAAATCTGGTTTAATTTTAAATAAAAAAGAATACGGTTAACAAGAAGTAAAGTAGAAAAACTTATGTTTTTATGTCAATTTAGACTATTCGCGATTTAATAATAACGTGTAATGTAAATGTAAGTCCGATTTACTATTTGTATTGTTTAGTTTAGAACAGAATATTTAAAACAGAATATTTAAAAATTGGAGGAAATACCACAGATCTGAGGCTTGAAAACGCAGTCATAAAAGGCTGCAACCAGTATAAATATCTAGGAAGCATCATATCAGCAGATGGCAGAGTTAAGATAGATGTACAAAACCGAATAACCCAAGGGAAAAAATGCATCCGAATACTGAATTCATTACTGTGGTCTAATAAAATAAAGATGCATACCAAACTTCGCGTATACAGAGCAATTGTAGAACCAATTACCACATATGGTGCCGAATGTTGGACGATGACAAAGAATGAACGAGATAAAGTAGACGTTGTGGAAATGGATTATCTTAGAAGGTCATGTCGAGTATCGAGAATGGAAAGAATCAGGAATGAGGAAATACGAAACCGTACAGGAATTAGAGATACTCTTTCAGATAGAATACAAGAAAGGCAATTACAATGGTATGGTCACGTGATGAGAATGGAGGAGGAGCGGTGGCCAAAGAAAGCCTTAATGTATGTTCCGCCAGAAAGAAGGAAAAGGGGAAGACCACCAAATTCCTGGAGAAGAGAAATTACAAAAACAATGCAATCTAGAGGCTTAGAAGAGGGAGATTGGGGAGATAGGAAAAGATGGAGGCTGAAATGCGAGAAGCGGCAATCGCCGTAGGACCCCCGTTATATGATGATGATGATTGTTTAGTTTATTTTTCAAGTTATAATAAATATATCATTAGGTAGTTTCTTTCACTTCAAAAGATATACACATAAACGATAATAGCCGTTATGTTTATTTATGTAGGTACTATCTTACTTGAAACTACTTTTAAACAATCATAGTTACTTGTTTATGAAAATTAAAATTTTTAAATGCTTTTTAGCATTCAAAAAAATTTAAATTTTTTTGGAATCCTGAGAAAACTAACAAATATTTTTGAAAAATTTAAATGCAGAATGAAAGATTACATTATTACCGAGGGCCGAAGGTCCCTTAGAATAAACAAAAAGTTTTTTTAATGAGATATTTGAAATTAAAAATCACACTAAATTTTGTTTTTTTTTTCATCCCTATAACTTATTAAAATAAACATTATAGAAGTTTTCAGGGACTTTCAGCTCTCGGTAATAATGTATTGTTTCATTCTGCGTTTAATTTTTTCAAAAATATTTATTAGTTTTCTCAGGATTCGAAAAAAATGAATGCATTTAAAAAACTTTTTCCCGAAATTTTGCTCCTACGCTGTTAACGATAAACTAGCACGACCCACCTCTACTTCTCGTTACTCGATCTTTTGACCAGACGACAATCTAGACTAGACGTTGCCAAATAAATTAGTGTATGAATATTTTTTAATTTGGCGTTATTGTATGCATGTTTAATTGTTTATTATTTCATATTGGGAAATTATTTTGATATTTAGATTTTTAGTTCGGAAATCGTACTTAAAATACGAAACATTAATAAATTTTATTTATATAAAACGATTTCCGAAATGGAAATCAAAATGTTATATTACAATTATTGTAAAGAAAACTTGTGGCATATTCCCAATAAAAAAAACAGTAACCTGCCATTTAAATCAATTTCGCCCAAATTTGATTGTCTTGAGCATTTTATCTTCTTGATAGAACATTGTTCAAATGCAAAAAAAGACAACAGGTCAAATAAAACCAATAAGTTTGGCAACGTTGAATTTCCCCTTTTTTAATATTTCCATTCGGCGATATAAAGGGCGTACCTAATATACCTCTCTCTTTTTAAACAGCTGTTTCTCACTCCATCTCACGTAAGGTCCATACCGACCATAAAATTTTTCCTACACTGTACTACAGTAGCTGGCCAAATTATTAGGCCAAATAAGGAAAAATTTACTATATAAAGTTATTTCTCTCATAATTATGAATATATTTGAAAAAAATTACTGTTTTATTCTTTTTTGTAAATATTAACTCTTATGTAACTTAACTGTACTAAAAAAGTTAACAAAAAATCTTAAATTATTAAAAAAGTATAATTTTTACAAAGTATGGATAAATTTAATATTTTGTATATCCAACTTTGGCTGCTAAAAGAGCTTGAACACGTCGAGGCATGCTCTCGATACAGGCTTGGATAGTTTCCTGGAGGTGAGGATTATGATTCCACTCTTATCTGAGCCTTTCAAGTAACTCCCTTTTATTAGTAATGTTTTTTTTCGCAATTTCCCTTTTTGGTAGTTCCCACCTTTTCTTACTAGAATTCATATCAGGTGAGTTGCCTGGTCAGTCAAGAACTTTAATTTTTTTTGTTTTAAATAAGTTGAAATACTCTTAGCCTTGTGGCAAGGAGCACCATCGTGCATAAATATGTGTTCCTCTTCTCCAGGAACCATTCCTGCAGCTGTGGCAAAAGTCTCGTCTCGAGTATGTGTCATCTGGTACTGCTCTTGTCTCATCATGTTTTCCACCACGTAGAGACAGCCTGTACCTTTGCTGGATATCACAGACCAGACCATAAGTGACGGTGGGTGTTTGATGGTGAACACCATGCAGACGGGCTTGTACTTCTCGTTGGGACATCTCCGAACAAACTTCGTTTTTTCTGTCAAAACTTGAAAAACGGATTCATCCGAGAAGCAGACCTGAAATCCACAAAATTTTTAGAAATGCTCATGTTTTTTTAGTTTTTAATATTGATATTCAAGCAAAACAACACAAATATAGCTTTTTCCAGTCTTCCACTGTCCAGTTTTTGTATTTTCGTGCCCATTCGAAACGTTTCTTTATCAAAATCGGAGTAAGCCTTGGCTTTCAAGTTGGTCTCCTAGCTACCAGTTTGTTTTCGACAAGTCTCTGACGAACCGTTCTTTCTGAAACACAAATTCCTTCATCTCCTAGGTAAGCATTCGCAGTGATTTTTTCTGTTTACTAGGCAAATATCTCTTATTTTGTCACAGTCATAGTAGTAGTCACACAATGTCTTCCTCTGTGACCCTCACGCTTTGGATCAAAACTGATCCAGGCGCAATTTTCTGTTTTACATTCCTTACAGAATTCTTGATACTCCTACCATTGCTGCTATTTCATTTTGAGACATCTGTCCAGCTTTTAGGAGTCCAAATACCTGGCCTATTCGTTTTGGTGACAGATCAGCGTTTTTGCTCATCTAAAAATGTATAATACCCTTAATTATACCAATAACTTCACTGCATATGTTTATAATTAAAAAAAACCATAAATCACTCACCTCTGCAATAAAATTTCAGTTCAAAAACCGTTTAGAATTCAAATGTTCACAGCCAGTACTTGAGGTTATAAAATGCACACTAGTTCACAGGACGCAATGCTGTCTAGAAATGAAGGATAGAGGCGGTTGTTTGCATGGCGGATAGGGCGGTGTTGCCAACGTTAAAATAGTACAATAATGTTACCATTATATATTAATTGTTGCTATGCGAAAAAATAATAACATTCTTGTTGATAAAAATTATTAATTTAAAAATGCAAATTTTAGTGATTGACCTAATAATTTGGCCAGGTACAGTTAGTTTAAATTTTTCCTTACAGGCAATAGTTTTCAAGATAACTGACTAAATCTTTATAAAAACTTGTTGTTTGAGACACATTCCAAAAAAATCTCAACAAGATTATTCACTCATTACAATCATATTAATAAATGATATCCAGCAATAAAACCCAAGTTCTTGGTCTAAATTCACTAATTTCTCATGATGTAAATATAGGTTAATGGTTCTCGAATAAAAGGTTGGTGGAGGTTACATCACTTTTTATCAACAGTAGCTGCTGGAATACTGCTCATCTGGCCAGACAATGACACTTGGTCCCTATTCCGGAATCAATTCATGGTTTTCAACATTTACATAAGTAAGTACATGATCATTTAATGCTAATGGATGAAAACCTCGTTTTTGTTTATATAATTTATTGTTGTTTGAATTTTATTGGGAAATACTTTTACTTGTAAGTGTTTTTGAAGATGTGAGCTTCGCTATAAAGGTTTTCTTATAAAACCAATTGTAATAGATAGTTCTGTAAGGACTTCTTTGTTAAAAATATCAACAGATGAAATACTCCACAATGCCACAATCTGTCCACTTACTTCCATAATGTCCATTTAGAGTTTTCACATTTTTTGGGGAGTCCCATGGTTTTTTTAGCTTTATTTAACTGACAATGATGCTCAAATGTATGGAAGTAAAATAACAGTGGTGGTTTCTTGGTTCCTGAAGGTTGTTCTTGAAGGTTCTTGGTTGGTTGTTCCTGAAGGTTCTTGAAGTATAGTACCTAGATAGGGCTTACTACGAGTTCTTAACATATCATAACTGTGTGGTATACAAACTTAATTTGTAATCAGGTGCATATGTCTCAATTCTATTATTTAGTCATTAAATCGACTGTTTACAGGCTTCTTAGGAATTAGATGTATATTGGTTGTAAAATTATCGGGATCACCCTGTAAAACATATAATGAGGCTACTGTGCAACCACGTATTAAAAAACGCGGAATATCGATTAAAAAACAATTGCAAAGTTGTTCTGATTAATTTTCTTCGATTGCAAATTTTAATCCTATCGCAAATATTGCGAAAGTTTGACCTTACACCTTTTTTCGTCCGTGAAGAAATTTAACAAGCACCTTAATGAGTTAGCACGGTCTGTGGTGTGATTTGCATTATCAAAAAAACTAAACATATATTTAGTGTTGATATAATTACTTACTATTAATTAATGTATTTAAAATTTTTTTATTTTTAATATCAACTTGAAGCACTTTCGAAATAATATTTCAGAATATATCGAATGCAACGGGGGGTAACAGGATAGGTTTGTGGGTTAGTAGTAAAAAGTTACTTTTTTATCTGGAAATTATTTATTTTACAATTTTATACTTCTGTATGTGTGATGGTGCTTTCACATCTGCCATTGAACACTTTTCCATCTCAATTTATGTAGATTTAGGAATAGATGAAAGTGACATAGAGCTAAATCTGGCAAATATGAACGCTGTTGTTAAAGTTCATACTCCGAATTCCTTCAATTCTTCCTGAAACTCAAAATTCAGGATTTGTAGTATTTTAAATGAAATTAAAACATTTAAAGAGAGAAGTAACAGTGATTTTTGCGTAAGATTTTATCAGATGCTTTAAATCAAAAATATTTTTAAAAACACGTTTGTAAAGCGGTCTAAAAAGTATAAAAGAATTTTTATTGATTCCTAGGGATGTATTATAATGATTGTTCTCAAACATTTGTCATAGTAAATTTAAGTAGCTATAAAAAAATAATTGTATAATTCAAAACAAACATGCAGCTTATACAATGGAAAATAGTAAAAATTATAGACAGATTATCACTGAGAATATTCATACAATAATAATTCCTATCATTCAGAATACAATGGAATTGTTGGTGATGATTCATGAATCGATTCGTAGTGATTTACATTCCGTCTCACAGATGTTTCAACCCTATGGATCTATATGAATTTTTTTTTGTATTTTTTAAAGAACAGTACATAAAAAGGACGTGATATTGTAATTTTTCTATTTTAAGGTCTGGTTCAATACCTTCAGTTCCGTTACCAAAGAGGCGTCCTCTACCGACTCAAAGCCTTGGGCGAGAGACACAACATGGACATTACGATAGAGGGTTTCCATTCGTGGATGTGGAGGGGACTGAGCTTTCTGTTACCGTTTTTATTCATAGGTTATTGTTTCCAGTTCTACAACGCTTACACCTTGTACGTTTTGAGTTACAGTATGGTCACTACATGGCATGTGAGTATATTTTTAATTTTTCCAATTTATCTTTATTTTAAATACAACCGGAGCAGCTGGCAACACCGCGCGGCGTATCACAGTACTATATCATATTTGGTCGTGTCATCGTTAATTAAAACTTATAATGAGTTTTATGTTACGTTTGGGGTATTACGATTAACAGGTTGTTCAAATTAGTTGTCTTCACCAAATCTAAATGGTGATACACTATTTGGTTGTGGATTTCTGAGCTTTAGTCGACCGAGAACTTTGTGCTGTAGTTGTAGAACAAAATCAGCAATTGATTCTTTTGAGATGCCACAGAGACTATGACAGAAACAGGGAAATGTGGATGGTATAACAAATTCAAATCCAATACCCCCTATTTCATGTTATAATTGAACCCATTACTTATAACTCCCTCTCTATATTTGGAAAATAAAAAAATAGAAATCATCACAAGCTATTGGAGGTACTTCGCTATGTGTTAGACTACGTTACAATCAACTCAGAACCTTCTGTTGGTAGGTTCTGAACAAAATAAGCAATTGGTGCTTTAGAGATATGACGGTGACTGCAGTAGGTTAACCACACGAATTCTGGATGACATAACAATCTGTTAAAAGTGTCCAATATCTCTTAAAGCATGTTACAATTGAACCCATTACTTATGACTCACCCTGTACACTTCAAAATGAAAAATTAGAAATTATCACGAACTCTTTGAGGTACTTCGCTATTTGAATGTTTATTTTTGAGAGAAAATCAGTTAGACTGCGTTATATTCTACTCAGAACCTTCTGTTCCTAGTTTCTGAGCAAACCGAACACTTGGTGCTTTAGAGATAATGCAGTAACTACTCTAGATTACCCACGCGAATTCTGGAGGACATAATAACAGTCTCTTGAAAGGGTCCAATATCTCTTAAAGCATGGTACAATTGAACCCATTACTTACGACTGACCCTATAAGCTTGGAACAATGGAAAATTAGAAATCATCATGAATTCTTCGAGGTACTTCGGCTATTTGAATGTGTATTTTCGAGTTGAAATCAATTAGACTGCGTTATAATTAACTCAGAACTTTCCGCTTGCCAGTTTCTAAGGAAAAATGACACTTAATGCTTTAGAAATGAGGCGGTGACTACACCGGGTCTACCAGACGAATTCTGGATGATATAACAACCTCTTAAAATGCTCCAATAACTCTTAAACCATGTTATAATGGCACCCATTACTTTTGACTCACCCTGTACACTTGGAAAATGAAAAATTAGAAATTATCAGGGTTCTTCTCTATTTTAATGTATATTTGCGAGTCAAAGTCACTTAGACTGCGTTACAATCAATTCAGAACTTTCTTCCCCTAGTTTCCTAGAACAAAAGATTTAATCCATTTAGTTACGATTCATTCTGCTCACCTAGAAAAACAAAACGAAAAATTATCACAATTTTAAGGCGAGCAAATCATTTACTTACTGTAAATCTTAAAATAGTTTCATTTTTATACATGTAACTAAGGCGTTTTTTGTTTCCACTTTTTACATTTTTTTTTGTTACTATTTTTTTAACGCCATATAAATTCATCATTCTGAGTTTCAATATTATTCTCTTTGTTTGCTATTTTATTAATGCTGACATTGATTTTTTTTAGGTACCTGTATTAAGTTTAATGTTTTTAATCCTTTTTATTGGCAACACTGTAACAACGATTTCGGTGATACCTTCAAAATTTCACGAAAGGGTGAAACTGCAGTATCGAGTGATGAGTCAGAGATTAAGCTCCCAATTATTGAACAGAGAGGTAAGTAACACATAAATATATATCTATTTTTTTCAATTTTGACATCCATTTGTTTTGTCTTGAACCATAGAGGACGTCTATTTCGTGAATATTTTCACGCCAAAGTACTTCAAATAGTGCCAAATATATTCTATTTTATAATTGCCAAGTTAACACTGACGCAATGGACCACAGGAGTGATGACGTAGTTTTTATTGACATCTGTCAGTTTCACTTTCCAAACAAACCTTGTTTAGTGTGGATAATTTGTATTTTTAGTTATTTTTTCATTTTTTTTTATAGAATCTTTCCGCTTTTTGCAATATTTAAGTATTCTAATAGTTACTGCAACAATTTTACAAGGTTCTATAAATAATAAAGCACATTGTTTTATGCTAATAGCAATAAAATGCATGTATCAATAAAGTAAGGTTAGAATTTCTTTAATTTAAACTTTTAAACTATATTTCATAGAAATAGAACTCTGAATTATGATGGTATTATCGTAAAAAACACTATACTTACAAGAAAAAGCAGGAGAGGAAGCAAAATGTTAATTTTATAGAAATTAAAAAGTATTGCGATTGGACACAGTCGTGACGTCACACTCCTGCTGTCCATTGAATTTTTTAGATTTCTAACAGATATTGTCAGAGTTTTTTCGTTTTTCTTAACAAATAAATTTGTGTTTAATATTTATTTATTTTATATTAAAATAACGAGATTAAGTAATGTATTTAACTGTTATGAATACAATTTTAAGCAGCTTATTTATATTATATTAAAATATTCAAATTAATTGTTATGCTTACCGGTGGCGCCACCTTTTAGCAGATATAAAAGTTTTGTTTTACTCTGTCACTACTTTTTGCTATACTATTATATATATTAGAAGAGATTTTAACCTATTAACTTCCAGAAGTGAAATTTTATTTGAAATTTCATGAATGAAACACACTTGCTGATCCATTGCTTTTGAATTTTTACATTTTTTTTTAAATGTAAAAAACATTAACTTCCTTCCATCCTCTTTGGACTTTTTTGAATTATTTTTGCAGATTGCTACACTCCAAATATTTATACGACCACTTTTATTTACGGAACATAGGATTTTTAATACAATTACTAAAATTCCCTGATATGCAATTAACCAGTGTAAATTTCTATATAACGTCCCGATGTTTTATAACTAATTTATTTGTTCCACTGGATTGCCTCTCCTCTGTGGTTTGTAGTAGCGTTTGTGGCACGCCGACAGTGTTGCTCCGTCTACCGATTTTTCCTGAAAGTCCGGTTTTGTGGAGATAATAAATAATGTTTTATCATCATCAATTTTGTTTGTGTTCATTAGGTATTATTTGAATTATCAAATTTATACTTAACTACATTTATTATTCTAAAGATTTTATTATTTTATTTTTGAAATTCCTTTTTATTTTTAGAACTCTACTTTTTTCAAACCGTTTTGGCAATAAAACATAACCTTTTTTTAGTTAAATAATGTTTTTAATTCCATATCTACATTTATAAATACGTACGTTTTCGGCGAATTGACGTGCACTCTAGCTGTGTTCCGTTTTTACACTTACACTTGCATCATCGCGGCATGAAGTCAGACTCCAGTCGAACAAATGAATTAATTATAAAACATCGCGACGTGGTACTGAAATTTACACTGGTTAATTGCAAATCCGAGGATCTGAGTTATTGTATTAGAAATCCTATGTTCCGTAAATTTTTTCCAAATCTGTATAATGTAGCAGAAATAAAATCCAGTAAGTAGGTACTTAACACAAAGTGTATCCTAACACTTGTATAAAAGTTTTGGGTTATATAGTAAAAAAAACTCAATGATATATATAGACACATTATATCTAAAGATATAAATATAAACTAAAACACTAACGATATTTAACAACAAAATATATTCTCCAAACTACTTATCCTGTTCTGTTCTCAAACAATTAGTAAAATTGACACCCTGGATGACGTCACGCTGACATATTTCATTCTGTCAATGTCAGAGTTACCATGCAACCTGTCTTTTAATAACCTTGAGGCGAATATAAAACACTTCATATTGACGCACGCGCAAACTGTACAGTTTGCAAATCTTTATCAAACCAAACTGACTATAATTTACAATTTTTTTGTCTTGTAGCAGACTGATGACACAGATAGTAACAAACAGGATTAGGAATAAAGTAAAAGACACACTAGAATCTACTAGAACTACTTCAAATGTGATTAGATCTATTTTATATATATATTTGTTATTTTTTTTAACATTATTTTTTGAGTAAATGTCTCGAATTGTATTTAAAAGGAATATTTGTGGAATATCTAAATGTGTAAAAGTATGCAATAAATTATTTATAAAAACTACAATAATTATCTTTTATTTTCCTAAAAAATTCAAGAGGGAAAGATTATGCGACCACAAAACGGTACACTATCAATGCTGCTGTTGATCGTGAAATACCTAAAGAGCAAAAAGGGTTTGTATCGTTTTTTTTTACCGTATAAAACAATTTATTCACTCGTTTCTAAATAATTCGACTTAATAACTAACCGCAAAGTTCTTGTTCAACAATTTATTTATATTGAATAAAGGGTAGAAAAGACCCAGTAGAATCACTAGTTCTTTGATTTATATATCCTTTTATTTCTTTGTACAATTGATTTACTTAATTCTAAAATACAGACTGATTTTTGCATAGCAGAAACCGGTGTTTAATACGGATTTAGTAGTATCCGAGATAATTCAGGTTCTCGGTTAATCTAGAAGCAGTTACAGGTCTGATTTCGTCGCAATATTTAACAAATGGCAAATTTTGTTCTGTTTGGGAAAGTATTTATGTGATTTAATGTATATACTCGGTTCGCTAATCCCAGTCCGAACTGTCTAGTGATTTTAGTAATTATGTTTTTACGAAGTTAGTTACTTTTTGACAGACTAGAAGTGGCTGGAAATTACTATAAAACCAAGCACACGTGCTCATAGCGCATTTCATTAGAGTATTCCGTCGACCTCTATTGCAAACTTATACTATGACTTGGATATTTATAGCATGTATAAAGAAAGTAAGTTTCTATTATATATAAAAATATATTTTATTAAAAAATTACGTTAATTTAGTTTATATCGTTAGGTTGCGCCAAATGTAGGCAACCAACTTAAAATTTTTGTTAGCATTTAGCTGGAGTTTCTTGAGAATATATTATTTAATAAACGTTTAATATTTTCCAGTTAATTTTTTTTAAGTAATAATAATCCTGAATAAGCATTATTTCAAATGATATATAATCAGAAGACGTACTTAATATTGTGTGACTTATAGCCAAATTAAGGATATAGTCTGCTCACCACGGACCACATTCCTTCTACTGTTATGTAAGTATCCTTGCAATATACTCATAAAATTGAAATATAATAATTATATATACAAATTATACGCTCCCGTAGACGCTGAAGCTGTTTTCACTTGAAGATACTTTTTGTGTGGAGTATCATCCCATCCTGAGTTTGGTTTTTTTCTGCTGTACTTCGCTGTCCACTTTTCTAGATTCTTCTCTCTTTGATTGTCCTTTCTATATTTCTATTTTCCATACTCCTTAAGTCTTCTTCCCTCCATCTCAGTTTAGGTCTGCTCTGGTACTTTTACCTGGTGGTATCCATTCCGTTATAATTCTTTAACAGGTTTCTCTTGTCTCTGCTCATTATGTGTCCATACGATCTAAATATTTGTGCTTTTATTGCTCTAACTATGTTCTCTTGACTTATCCATTCTTGTATTTCGTGATCCATCCATTGTATATATCCTCTTCGTTTTCTCTCTTTGGTCCCATTATTTTTCTGATAATCTTCCTTTCAAAAACTTTCAACTGCTCTTCTTCTCTTGCTGTTAATGTAAATGTTTCTGCAGCATATTCTACTATTAGTCTTATGGTCGTTTTGTAGATTTTCATTTTTGTATTTCGGCTTGTCTTCTTATCTCTAAACATTTTTTTATTTCTACAAAACGCTGTATTTCCCGCTTGAATTCTTCTTTTCATATCTACACTTTCTTGTCTTCTGTTGACTAGTACTCCCAAATATTTGAATGTTTCAACCTCTTCGAAACTGTGTGCATCTATTGTCAGTTCTGTCATTTGTGTCTTCTTTTTCTTGCTTACGTTCATGTATTTTGTTTTATTTTCATTTATTTCCAGTCCTCTCAGTTTGGCTTCGTTTTCTATTTCTTGAAGGTTTTCTTTAATCCTTTTTATCTATTGCTACTATGGTTATATCGTCCGCATATCCTATTATTTGTACTGCATTCTTGTTTATAGTTCCTGCGTTTGACAGCTTTTTTATTATCTTGTCTAGTGATAGAATAAATAGTACCGTTGGAAGCGCATCTCCTTGTCTTACTCCATTTTTTATTTTTATCATTTCTGTTCTTTCTCTTCTAGTATCTATTATGCCTTGGGTATCTCGCGTTGTCATTTCTATCATTCTTATAATTTTATTTGGTATATACTCTCTTGTAAGTCTTGGATCATTTTTCTTCTGTTTAGTTTCAAACGCCTGTTTAAAACTATAATTTATAAGTTATAACAACTTTAATATCTATTTTAGTGGTTAAATAATCTTATCGATAAGCAAAAAATTGTAATGTTTCAAAGCTGTCATTCAGGGTACTATTAAACTGATTATAAGTATTTTTATCTATTAACATATTTATAAATGGACTTGACTTAAGGAATTCGTCTAATTCCTGATTATCTGGACTGTGCTTTCCATTAGAAAGAAAACTAACTTGATCTAGATACCTCCCTTTGATGAGAACTTGGTACCATGCAACAGCCAAATACATACGCAGAAGTTAATGCAGAACTAAACACACACTTTAATCTAATGTGTGTTCGCATTTAATCTTAAACATAGAAAAAGATTTCTGCGCATGAAATTACTAGTACGAAGATGATAGAGTTTGTTGTTTGATATAAGACACAGGTGTGTTTGGAACTTTCCGTTCTGAAGAGAAATTTAACAAACTATAAACTCGATTGATTTGTTGGTTGCATAACCAGTTCTTAGGCGATCTAAACATTATTTTTTCGAATAAAGTAAGTAAAACATAATTATATTGTAAAACGATTTGTACGTAAATGTTTATTTTTTGGTATTTAGGAATGCACTTGATGAAGAAATTATTGCTTTCCTCGCATCTCAGTCAAATATTTGAAACAATTAACTAGACTGATTTGTGGTTGCCTAACTAGTAGACGAATAGTCTAAATATCAGTCCCATACCTTTGCATTTGCGTTTCCAATATTTTAAAGTTTGTTCTATATACATTTTAAACAGTGTCTTATTTTTGAGCTTTGTTGATTTGGAACCTCTTCGGTAGACTATTCTCAATTTCTAACGTGGTTTTACATAGCATACATATGAAAACTATACTTAATTAACAGTAATTTTCTTTTCATTAATCTACGTAATATAATGAAGTCAACATTTAATCTAGATGCTTCAGTTTAAGCTTCTAAATCTTTATATTTAGAAGCTTATGCTGAAATAATATAACATTAGACGTTACAAAAAGTAAAAGAAATAGCTACTAGAATATCACAAATTAAAATATTAACATACAAAAAGAATTGCTAATAGCAGGAAAAGAAACTGTACAATACAGCCAGAATTAGATGACTTCAGAAATTTTAACATTAATGGAAGAGAAGAGCAATGTTAAGGGGGGAAACGAATTGAAATACTAAGAATTACACAGAAATGTAAAAGTAAAGATAAATTAGACAGAAGAAAAGTAGTTAACAGATCAATGCATTGAAGTAGAACAGTAGAATAGAAGCCTTCGGAAGCCCTGAAAAAGACCTCAAAGATTATGTTGAAAGCTTGGTGCAATGATAATCGACGCGGTTCAATCCGAAAGACTGTTGAGCTGTAAAAAAGTATTATCAAAAAAAAATAAGGTACCTATACCAATGAACAGAAAAATCTTGACCAACATAAGAGTCGCAGATGACACCGTTGTTGTATTTGACATTCTAGAAGCAATACAATACGAGTATACGGACTGGAATTGAATGAACAATGACCAGAATAGAGAAGTAAGAACATAAACTAAAATTGCGAGAAAAACATTTGTAAAAATGATAGAGATTTACTACTAGTAATATTGCTGTGGATCTTGCTTCTCCACTTTGGTCTGTGAAATGGGAAGCTGGAAACCAACTAATCTCATGAGGCACTCTCTAAAACTGCTTGTCAAAAAAAAACTATTCAATAGAATTAAACAGAAATGCAAAGAAACAATGGAAAATAAGAATTAAAGATTTCAGAGAAGGATTAAGAACGAGGAAAGCTTTGTTTTTAATATTATCATTACTCCAAAGAACATGAGAACTACAAAAACCAATTAACGTCTGATTTATGGATTTTCAAAAGACGTTTGATAAGGTTCAACATTATAGACTGTTTCAATATCTAGAAATGATATGAGATAAGCGATCTAGACATTTAAGAGGCTTATTCAAAATTTATTTTGGAAATAAAAAGCCTGTATTGTGCTAGGAGATAACGAGGTCGACCAAATTTTCATTTAAAGAGGAGTTAGGCAACTGAAAATATCAAAGATCTTCAATTCCTCATCTAGAGAATGCTCCAAAAATGGATTATATCGAAAACTTTTCCTAATCTCTTCTAATATTGCAACCTGTATCTTTTATGTAGAGTTTGGTGAAAAGATACGTCTCACGAACAAGTGTTAGAGACAAGTAGTGGCTCGCTCGAATAGAAAAAGTTCAATTTAGAATTTTGCAACACTGTACCAACTTGTACATGTCTAGTGAGTACTGTATGGTTTTGGACTCAATTAGTAGTATCTTTTTTTGTTGCCTATAATGTAGTCCGACGCTTGTTTCTGGTTGTGCTGATTACTGCTTGTTGCAGCGCTATTAGCACCTGTCTGTCGAATATACATTGCGTGTGTTTATTTTCAGTTTTCTATGATAATCAATATCTAAAAATTGATCTGCTTGGAGATAGATACTTAAATAATCAATCTCAAATCCTCCGTGGCATTTGGCGTTGTGGAGTAGTAGTAGCAGAAGAACAAATGCCACAAACATCTGATAGAACAAAGTTAAATGTCTCTAAAAAAATTTAAATTGTTATTACCCAATGAAACATATTAACGAGAATAATGATCTAATATTTCATATTTTAAAAATATTAAAAAATCTCTATTGAACAGCTTAACTATCTTTATACTACCTAAAAGTGTAGAAATTGAAACTTTATTATTCGTAGAAGACAAGATGAATCATCCAATAATTGCCGGAACGCTGCTCTGGTAATTGAATGATTTAAATCATGGGTACAGGCCTTTTTCACTTAGATGGCAACACAAATATAGCACCATCAAAGTGGAAAAAGACATGTCCTCAAGTTTTTTTATTCCTCGCATAGTTGTTCACCAGTTTCGCCATCTCTGTCCTTAGGAGATCTATAAAATAAAATAAACTATAAATCTAATATTGCTGACAAATACAAAAATCAATAAGGAAATAGTTAGAATGCTGTAAAAGCAAAAATAATTGTTACTTATCAGTAGAATTCTCAATCTAACTTCTAACATTCATCAAATTTTTAAGGACAACCTTTTGGTCCTCTAATCTGTCGCTATATATCCTGAAAACTAGTTCATCAAAGTCTCTTAAGTCTAGTGAACCTAAGATAGTAGTTTCTTTGAATAGTTGGTATAGTTTCGGGTTGCTATTGGACTTTCATGATCCCATTTTAAAATGGGCGTGGTCCTGTTTCTAAAGCAACAGATGTGGCCATGTCCGTAGGAGCAACATTAAAACCAAATATTTGTTTCATCTGCCATTTTATAATAAATAAGACTATAATCGCTTGCAGCAGGTTTTCCATCATCATCGTATTCTTAATGTCAGCGATCTTCATTAGGTATTCGGCATCAAACTATGTAATCGCACTCTATGAAAGTGTAGTGTACTATATTTTCATAGAGTGCTTAACACTCCCAACGTAACATCAATGACAAACTAGAAAGATGTCAAAGTACGTCTTTACTTTGTTATTTTAAAGTTTCTTGTCCCAAATGTTTTCAAATACTCAAAAAGAGCTTTTACAGTTATGCAAATTAGATTAATCAAAATTCAAGTATAGAGTCATTAATTTGATGACCAATTATCAATTTCCTTTCCTAACTCTTTTATCTTGGTTAATACCAATTCTCAAAATTAATACTAACCTTAGTATATACAAAAAAGTGAGACCATGTTTTCCCATCGGATTCCCCTATAAAATAATATGGAAAAGCAGACCAACTAGCTTGTTCAGCATCCTTCAGCCAGTATTCCATTCACATTAACGAGATTTCTTCTTCTGATATGAAATTTGAAATCAGTTTAATATATGGCAAAACATCATAAAATAAACTGAAAGAAAATAAACAATCAGTGAAACCTTGGCCCCAACAAACATCCGAGCAGACCATATCAAGAGAGAATAACGCGATTGCGGCTAGCAAACTATGTTACCAATGTGCGAAAATCGCCAAACAACCCTTTCAGTAAAGGCAAAGGACATATGGCAAAGGATAAATGGAGATGTGTAGTTAAAACTGAACATGAAAAAACTGAGGATACTGTAGAAAAAATTCCCTTTAAACTGTTTGATGATCTTGATGATCTGTATGTCGATTCATACAGTTCAGTATTTGTTTCATCTTCGGTAAATGTTAGTGATTACGAAACTGCCTCCATGTTTTCATTTTAGATGATAGTAACTCGGTAAATAAAAATTAAATTATATAAACGATAAAAGCATTAGGCAAGAAATATCTCACAAAAACACACAAAAAACACAAAGTGTGGATCTCAATGTCAACTGTATAAACATCAAAGAAGCATAACATCTCATTGAATATAAAGGAAGCGTTAGGAGAAAACATGAATGTTAAAAATACAATAGGCTATTTAAAAGACTCTGGTTCATATAATTACCATTTTTCCACCATATTTCACCATGGAAAAGTGATAATTAATACTCTACATTCCCTTTTTAACAAGATATTAAAAGAAAAAAGAATCCCAAACAACTGGAAGAAATCAGTAACCATTTTCCTACACAAGAAAGGGGATAAAGCAGATATAAAAAAACTACCTTCCTATAACACTCCTCAATGTAATGTATAAACTCTTAACAAAAATTTTAACAAATAGATTGATGACAAAATTCAACGGATACCAGTCAAAAGAACAAGCTGGTTTTAGAAAGGGATTCAGCACAAGTGACCATTTACTAAGTATGAAAATACTTATAGAACGAGCAAATGAATACCACATTCCACTATATATGGCGTTCATAGATTTGGAAAAGGCTTTCGACAGTGTCAAACATGGTGCAGTGAAAAGTTATTTGATTAACAGCAGAATTGACCACAGAGATATACGGAACTAATAGCCTATATATATATATATATATATATATATATATATATATATATATATATTATATATATATATATATATATATATATATATATATTGGATTTGAAACTTCCGCGGGAGCTATAAGTGATTTCAGGTTGTTTTCCGGGTTTGACTCCGCGTTAAGTAATTTTGGTTTTTAGGTATTTAGGTATTAAGGTATTTAAACTTAGCGAGCAGCGACCGAGAAATCAGTTCTCCTGAAACATCAAGACGAAGCAGAACTAATCTGACTTGACAATGGCAAGTGTGACCTTGCCGAAACTTCGTCAAAACAATGGGAGTCAAACCCGGAAAACAACTGAAATTATATATATATATATATATATATATATATATATATATATATATATAAGGAAGCCAAAACAACAATTAAAGTATATGAAGAAACAAAATAAATACAAATAAATAGAGGCGCGAGACAGGGTAACACAATATCACCGAAACTTTTCAATCAGGCTCTGGAAGATACTTTTAAAAGATTTGAATGGGAAGAAAAAGGTATAAAAATTTGTGGACAACGCTTGAACCATCTAAGGTACGCTGATAACATCGTATTGATAACCGATAAAAAAGAAGAATTATTTGAAATGATGAAAGAACTGGAAGAAGAAGCGGGCCTTAATATGAATTACAGCAAGACCAAAACCATAACAAATACTGATGAAGATATTACAATGAGAATCGGTCAAGATTATATATATCTGGGACAAACTATAAAACTTAAAAAAGAAAACCAAACAACAGAGATTAAAAAAAAAATGAGTTAGACTGGCATGCGTGGCATTTGGCAAACTAAGCTACATTCTTAAAAACAAAAGATATCCACAGCATCTTAAGACCAAAGTATATAATCAATGCGTACTTCCTGTTCTTACTTCCCAAACGTGGACATTTACAAAAGTAAATATGGACAAAATCATAAAAAAGAGCAATGGAAAGACAAATGTAGCACATAAGACTAATGGATAAACAGAGAAACGAGTGGAAAAGAGAGAAAACAAAAGTGAGAGATGTTAGACAAGAAGTTGCAAAATTGAAATGTAGATTTGCCGGACACAATATAAGACAAAAAGAAGACCGATGGAACAAAATTCTTATAAGTTTGAGACCGTGGCAATATAAACGAAGCAGAGGAAGGCCCCAAATAAGATGGGCAGATGATATCAAGAAGCTCGTGGGCTCTAGGTGGATGACTGTAGCGACAGACAGAGAAGAATGGAACATGATTGGGGAGGCCTATGTACAAAGATTGGCCGAAGAAGGCTAATTAGATAGATAGATAGGTTCATATAAGTTATTGCAACATTACTTTTAACATATTTTATGTCGCTAATAACATTTGTCATTGATGGTTTGCAACGAACAATAAATAAATAAAAAAAATATGAGCATAGTCACATAAGTTTATATCCTGACGTAATAATAATTAAGAAACATAGGAAAAAACATCTCGATGCATAGTCACATAATAATATACATATAATAAAAAAGTTATACATTCCGGGCGTGAATGGATTCGTTGAGAGGGAAGGTTTCCTGTATTTGATATGTAAGTTATAATTTTGGTTTGTTGTAAGTATAATCTTGTAAGTTGTAACTATAATGTAATGCGGATGGAACAAACTGACACAACTAGAAAAATGCTCTTCTGATAGACTCATTGGTCAGAGAAAAAGAGAAAGATCCAGAACAAGGTTCCTTTATAACATTCATGAAGACATGAGAAATATAGGAATACGTGCTTGGTGGAGAAAGGCGATGGATAGGGACGACCAGAGGGAAAATTTGTTAAGCCAGAATAATTGTGATGATGATTAACTCTCTTGATTAGATTGTAATACAAAGTATCTTCAGCTTATTGGTATAATAAAAGTAATGTTTCATAAAAATGATCAATTTTTATTTATATAATCTAAAAAAAAATGAATGTAAAAAATATTTTATTTTTATATCGGCGCCCCTCAAAATTTGGCGCTCCGGGCAGTTTCCCCATTGGCCCGCCCTTTATCCGGCCAATAAAAGCGCTTAATCAAGTGGCAAAGAACAAAACTTAATGCCAAAAGTGATGGAGGGATTAAATTTGAAGACCACTGGTATAATACAGATGCTAAACAACGTCCATCCTGTATATAAATAAATGGCCATGTAAAAATACTTACATTTAAATAACTAGTAAAACTAGTTATGCGGTTTTTCCGTATGGCACTATATCGCTGATAATAGGAATGGGAATGTGATAATTTTTAGATAAAATATGACTGTGACAATTGTGCAACAATTATCGCTTAAAAAATTACGCTCGCCAGTGAAATAATGAGCCATTGCGCACGTATCGCTGCGAGCAAACTAATTACAGTGAAAAATAAAGGAATATACAAAAAAATATGCTAATTACGAAGGTATAGAAAATTAAAATTAACTCTTATCACTTGATGATTATTTCTATTTACGGTGTCGCGATTGTTAATGGTCTAGTTAAAGAAATTATTTGTATATTTTTTCTATTGTTAAAATATTTATTGTGAATGAGAACTACTCACTTTGTATATTATTTTAACCTACTTTTGTGATAACCTAATTTATCATTCTGTGTGCCTTTATGTCTAATAGAACACAAGCCCATGGAACATTTT